TCAATCAATCAATCAATCAATCAATCAATCAATCAATCAATCAATCAATCAATCAATCAATCAATCAATCAGTGAGTCTAGCTGTAACTACTGCCCACCATGTCCCCATCATCAGTTCAGTTCTCAGAAGCTTTTCCGTCCTGCCACGCCCACCAACACCTGCACCGTGCCTCGTTAAACTCAGCTGTTCTTCATTACCTCATTAGCCTCGGCTCAAATCAGTGTCTGTCTATAAATCAGCAGAGCATCACTAATTGAAAATCTAAAATGCCAGTTGGGTTGTTCCAGTGTCGCCTCCGGTTCTCTTCATCTTTCTCTCCTGGAAATGTAAGTTGTGCTGCTTTCTTTGTGTTCTGGTAAAGGTTTTTGTTGCTCCTTCCAGCTCCTTGTGTGGAGTCTGTGGCTGGGTTCAAATCCTCCTCATACACAGACAGACTCATGTGACAGAAAAAAAATCATTCAAGATATGCCCAGATGGGAATGAATTTCAGCTGCCACAGAAAGTTCAGCTCTAGATCTGTGTATCTAGACTGAATAACTGTAGCGGCCATCTTGAATTGGGTTCAAGTATGAAAGAGATCCAGAGAACAAAATTAATCTATCCGGTGCTATGTCATGTATTTTTGCTAACACAGTCCCTTTAAGTTTAAAGTCAAATTACAGCATGATTTTGCACTATGTATTGAAGATACCACTCAACCACTACCTGCCAAATGTAAACACTTTATCTCTAAAAAAATAACAGAGTTGCAGCCAAGTTTGTGTTTGTTAAAACTGTGATGGCTCTAAAACTGAATCAGTTGTTGACCTGTTTGATTAGTTGTTAAGAGTTTTATTAAACCCCGTCCAGTCCTTGAGATATTCCTGAGATTACAATTAAACATATGAAAATTGCTTAAATTTGACATTACATTCATTGCCACCCTTACATCTGGATTTTTGAGCCTCCCCATATTTACGTAAATTCTATATAAAGGCTACGTTTCATAAGGTGGAACCCGCTTGAACATGGTGAAAAATGCCTCTGGTTGGCATAATACTACTACTACTACTTAATAATAATAATAATAATAATAATAATAATAATAATAATAATAATAATAATAATAATAATAATCATAATCAGGTCAAAGACAGACACAGACAAACCTTTTCACCTTCAAGGATGGGTGGTAAAGAGCAGTATCTTGGACAGAGCAGTTAAATGATGCCTGTTTGTGGTTCTGTCCTTCATGGAGAAAGATTCTGTTTTAATAACCATCTGTCCAAGTTGTCCAGCTGTCACAATCTAAGCTTCCCCCCCACTTTAGAGGAAATCATTTGTGTTAAAAAAAACTCTCTTTTTCTGCCCCTCAAAGCAAGGAGGCGTGTTTGAAAAGGTGGATGATCTCATTGCGGTGAGGTTTAGTCTCTTCTCCACCTTTTCCATTTCAGTCTGCTCACTTTTCCACTGAATCACAGTGTTTTCCTCTCTGCCATTTCATGTATTCATCTTCTGCTTTACTTTCCTATTCGTTTCACACGCACAAACTGTTTTATTTTATGTTCTCATGACACCCTAAAGTCTTATCTCTTAAAAAAATGTAATTAAAAATATTAAATCATTTTTTTGTCCTCGCTACAAACAAATAAAACTCCATGAACTATTATTATGGCTTTAGCTGCATGTTTTTTTTAATGTAGAAAAATGTGCCCTTATTATTTTCCAATACACCCACACTTTTCCACGTGGCTACAGAAATGTTTTGTTGAAACATAAAAAAAGGCAGTCGTGTGATTAAAGATGCGGCGCAGCACTTTTTCTGTCACCTTGCAAACATTTGCTCCCAAAAATGGAAGCTAATGACAATGCACAGAGGAAATTTGCCTTTTGTTTGCGTTTCCCTCTCAAATCACTTAACCCTAAGAATGAAGCTGTTTCCTCAACTTAAATGGAACATTTATTGATTCTTCTGCATTAGGAACAATGACAGGTGAATATCCTCTTCTCCAGGAAGTGTTTTTATTTCTTTTTTTTTTTTTTTTGGTCTGTTGAATGTTTGAGCCTCTAAACTGTGCAGATGATTATTGTTAAAAATCACAACTGCTTTACAGATTAGCTGTGAGAAATTAATTCAGAACCAGCGGGCTTCTTCGTCACTCGTCAGTGATGATGAGCTGAACCAAACACATAAAACACAGAGGCGTATACTGTGCACATAAAGAGTTGACTGAAAGGATGTACTGATGGGTGACACGTGAATAACTGGGTGAGAAACCGTTGCCACACCAAAAACTTTACAGCTTAGTTGTCTTTTTTCCTCACTATGTTGCAAACCATCTCGAGGATGATGTTGACCATCAAGGACACCCTTCAATCATATCATCAGATCAGTGGTTATCAACATGAGGGGCTTGCCCCTCTTGGGGAATAATTAAAACTCTGTATAACTCAGATCTTTTTCCATTTTCCAAATTAAAATTTGTAAATATTCACTTTATTTTTTATTGTTTTGATAAAGAGACAAAGATTTAACACATCTTTGGGAGAGGTGGGGAGTAGTGAGGGATTGCAGGGGGGCTCAACGTGACTTGGAAGAAAGGAGGACTTTGAGGAAAATGCTTTGGGAACCACTGATCAAGATGGTACAAAACTTTACAATAAGGCTCCCCTTTTAGATGGCCTATAAATAGTTTATAGATATGTTATTAATTCATCTGTAAACATTGTATAAATCATTAATAAGTGTTTATTATGCATTAATTAAAGACAAGTGAGACAAAACTGTAAGCCAAAAATAGTGAGCCAAATCTTTTCATGATCATATTACATCTAAASGTGCTGTATTAAAACACATATTTTACATATAATATTGTACTGTATTATATATATCCACAACTATCAAAGAGAGCCTTATTGTAAAGTGTAAGACAGTACACTATTAATAAGGCTCCCTAATGGCATTTGTACATTAGTCATTAATAAATACTGCATCTACTGTCTTACACTTTACAATAAGGCTCCCTATTTTAATTGTGGATATGTATAATGTAGTAATACAGTAAAATATTATATGTAAAATATGTGTTTCCAAACCATTTTTGTGTTTACAAGGTAGTAACCTAGTTTGAGATGGTCTTGTCCTTAATTAATGCACAATAAACACTTAGTAATGATTTATAAAGTGTTTACAGATGAATTAATAACATCTCTATAAACTACTTACAAATCTATAAGGGGGTCTCATAAATTCACCTGAGTTCTTTTTTGTTGTTTACCAAATGTATCTCACTTTGCTGCTACCATTTACAGTTGGAGGCACAAAAATTGGCTAATTTTATTTGGAATGTCACTAAAATTTTATTTATGACATGTATTTATACCTGTTAATACATAAGGAGAGTTACTTAATGTTTTTGTCATATTTTATTTACTAAATGGTCTAATTATATCTAATGTTTTGTCTTTAATAAGTCACAAGTTTTGGTTTCCGTGTGTAAAAGATGTATTTCAGCAGTATTAGTAAAGTGTGTTGTTTCCWCACAATGGCAACATTTATGTTCTGCCTTTGACCCATTACATGTGACATACAACCAAGTGGAGCAGCTACGAGTGCACCCTGGAAGCAGTTAGAGAAAAGGTGTTTTTGCTCATGGGATGTGGGTGGAATTGAACCTGCCAACATTTGTAAGTTTTGAGTTGAGACAGCAGCGGTCCACTAGCTGTTAAATCTGATCAAAATTCTACTCTATTTTGTTAAATTAACACAGTTAAAATAATATTATTGTAACCCTTCACCATTTTAAAATAATCTTTTAGTTAGGAGGATGTTTCAGTCCTGATTAAGCATTGATTTATCTTTTAAAATGACACGTTTCAAGTAAAACACAGGGCSCAGTGTTCTTAGACATGCAGCACACTCCCCCATGCAGGCGGTGAAGTCAGGCAGTGGTTTAGTTGTTGGTTTACCAGGTGATAAACACACGGGGTCGTCACAGTATGATGTGTAGTCTTTGGATGGGATGGCAGGTGATTGACAGCATGAGGATGAAGAGGTTGTGATTGGGTGGAGGGTGAAGGGGGGAAAAAAGGGGAGAGTGAAGAGAGGTAAGTTTGTCAGGACTATCCATGCCCTGTAGGATAATCCAAAAACATGGCTGGTGTAGCAGTGGCCTGTTTCAGCAGAAAAGGTGATTATTGTCCAATAAGCCAATAAATTAAATTGTATATTGTTGTGAATGTGATACTTTCTGCAGAAACCAAAACTCGGATGATGATTTGTTGTTTCTGAGGAGGGAGAGGGCAAAATTGTTGGATGTTCGCTYGATACAGGAAGTTTTACTGCTCTGTTTTTACGCACTAAGATCAGTGTTGTAGTTTTGTAAGAATATTTCGTGTTCGTTAACTGAAATYGTGACAAAACCACATAAAYATTGAACAGATTAAAATGTGAAGAGAATGGACCGTACAACCCTCAGATCGGGTTCTGAGCGAAGCTTTTATTKSTTAYGGCTGAAGCAAACAGAACTGCGCTGTCCAAAACCGGAAGTTCCGGTCTATATATACAGGGATCTTCAGTGCCTGGTACGCCCACTACAGGCCTAYRGCTGAATCGCAGACACTCTGAACAGCGATGCTCATCTATTATCATAATGTTTTCATTAACGGTTTATTGTTATTATCAAGGTGTTTCGGGCATGTAACTAAAGTTATTTTAACCAAGACATAACAATAGATTATAAAAGTCAAGCCTTAAAAAGAAAAACTAAGAAAATGATGTGGTGCTTTTAAATCAGTGTTTGACTAATAAATTTATTCAGTTTAACTGTCGACACCTTCAGTGTTTCCTGGACTGTAGCCAGTAGCTGTTTTTGTTTCCAGTGAACTTTTCTCTTTCTAAAAAGAWGTTAATAAAACTTTATTTTTTTATTTAAAGTGTGTAATGGATTTCAGGACCACTGGAGGCTATCTGATCTTTGCAGCAGTAGGACTAACAGTCTTTCATTTGAGAAATGCTTAAGAATAAAGAACTTGAAAAACTATATATTGTCAGTATAAAATAAATAGAAAAAGTACATTAAAAGAAGAAAACTTAATTGTTRCATTTACTTTAATAAATCACTAATTGAGCTTCAGGCTGAAGAGGATTCGTTTTCTCTTATCTTGTGTTTATTTTGTAATTACAGTGCAATCACACAAATGTGATCAATCAAGACAATTAAGTTGTAAAATGAAGATAACAAGATAAACGAGTCGCACRAACAATCCACACTAGGCTGTGGTGCAAGTTTTTTTTGTTTTGTTTTAAAGACATGACTCAAAGCTCTTWGCTGTAATCAAACCATGTGAATGTGTCATTAGTGTGAATGTTAACACCCTTTCAGTTCGTTCCAGCAGCGTGTGAGTCAGACATTTAAAGCAAAGGGCGAAGAAACGGACGTTAAAGTGGAGCTGAACTTGTGAAAGTGAGAAAAACGGAGGGGGGTGGAAAAGTGTGTCACTTTCAAAGCATGTGTTTAGTAGGCCAGAGGGAAACAGGGATGTGTGTTTCCCACATCCTGACACATGGATGCTGTTGAGAAYGACATCCCTTATGAGAGCACGACCACTTTTGAAGTGTGCTTCAAAAATGTCTCAAAGGTTTTCAGATGAAAGAGGAATGTGTGACTGACTGGATGAAAAGTGTCATTAGCTACATGAAAAATAAAACACATTATAATCATATCTTGATGAAATACATTAGCGTTTTGAAGCAATAGTTCAGATGAARTGGGATTTAAAGAAAAGATTGTGAACAATCATTATCTTACCTGTTTTAGATGGTTCTCTGAATTATCTCAGTTTGGGTAAATAGACTAACTGTTCACGACTGACAAGTTTACAACTTGTTAAAATATTAATTACCATTCAATCTAATAAACATAATAATGCCTCGTGTACATTCTATCATTTATGTCAATTTTGCAAAACACAAGTATTTACGTTCAATGTTATGATTGTTCACCAGAAAAAAATAGCAGCAGCAAAGGGGGTAGCTTTTCAGCCTGTCTGTTTGCTTCATGTAAGAATCTGAGCACATGTCTGAGGCAGGGGAAATTAGCTGTAAAAGGTTGAACTTTCAGCCATAAATGAAGAATGAGGGCTGCAGCAGCAGCTGTAAATACAACATCTCTGAAGTCACAAGCTGTCCCAAGTCTGTACTTTGTCTGCCATTACTTTGTCCTCACCATGTCTGCTCAACAGATTGATGCAAGTCTGCATTCTGAGCAGAAAATGTAATAAAAATGCATATTGCAAATCATCTTGTGACAAATTTGAAGCAGCTAATCCTTGTCATTTAGCACAATTGGTGGTTTGCATTTTRACTCTTTGAGCACTTGAGTTTTACTTCAGTCATTCTGATGTTAGTGTCTTTTATCCATTAAATTTACTTTAATTTGTTTATTTATGCATAAAGATACATTTTATTTGTAGAGGCATAAATTAATAACGTTGATCAAATTTAAGGTAAAGTCTCTTCTACAGAGGACATCAAGTTTTACTGCCAAGCCGGTGCAGTTTTGGTTCAAAGGCAAAAAATTGTAGGTAAATTGTGCCTTTTCTAATAGTTGAAAGCTAATTTAATTAAAAAAAAAGCATTTGCTTATCTTTTTTTTTAACCTTTTCTGGATATGAGATTTATATTTTAGAGAAATGGGATTAGGATGAAAAACGGACGTTTTTTGTATTGGATCCTTTTGGTTTCAGCAGCAGACTARCCATGAGCTCATCAATCGAATCAGAACAAAACTTTATTTTTAAAAAGTGAGGCTGTTCAAAGAATGATCTACAACAGGTACAACACTGATTGTTCATTTTAGAGCACCCCACTTTAAATGATCTGAACTATCCCTTCAAGGACACGAGAGGATAATAACAGTAAGTATGGCAAACACATTAAATGTGAAAAAATTCARGACTGGTTGACTTCAGTGCAAAAAGTAATGAAAAGTTGTTACCTGTTAGGGTCTTATAATCAAGYAAATCAAACAACACGATGGCCACTGCTGACCACGTGATGATCAGAGCCACAACCAGCAGCCAGGCCATCGGTGAAGTGAAGGTTGATAYGACCTCGTCCACAAATGTCCTCTGAATGGAGCGGGGAGGAGGGGCCGCCTCCACGCCTCTGGTCTGACCAGTCATTGGTGAACAGAGCTAGGAGGGAAACAAAAACAGAGCACAATGAAACGACTAAGCAAAGTCACTTTTAACAGGTTTACAGTGATAGCATCCTAAATATGGCAAAGTTATTTAAAACTAAATCAAAAACAAAGGAATCCTATTCTGTATTATACAGCCTATGTTGCCTTTGAGTATTAAATGACATAATATTGCCATATTTCCTTCTATAAGCTCATCAAGCCAAAGTATAAGCTCAGTTTGGGCTAACAGGCATCTGAAGAGTATGATTAAAAGCCGTTAYGCAGGCGGTGTTTGTTCACGCAGATGCTGCTGACTCATTAGAATATGTTCTGTTTCTTGGTGTGAGAATCAGAGCCACGAGGAGGCGACGAGCAGGAGGGAGTAAATGTGGGAGAGGAATTTATAGCTGAGAAAGACAGAGGGAGGAGATTACAGCAACACGATGAGACAAATTATTACTTCACCAAAGAAAACTTTTTTCATCACCGTACCACAAAAATGCTTTGAACACAAATAATATAATTATTGATGAGTCAAGAATATTTTGTGTTTTAATATTCAGTGCTTGATTTATTTGTGTCAGCTTGATTATCATGTTGAAATATCCACAGTTTTTTCCTACAGTCTTATATGAGTTGTAGTCATTTTTAAACAGTGATAGAATCAACATGTTTTTACAACATGTTTCTCACACATAAGACTTGTTTAAGATTTTCGGTGCCCACCTGAAGCGTGAGACTAGGGTGTTCTATTAATAGTTTTTGGTAACCAGAATGAGAAAGAGAAGCCATTGAGTTTATTTATTTATTTATTTATTTATTTATTGGTGCTGATTAGGCTCAGGATCACACACAGACACTGACTCTTACGAGCTGACTCAATACTAACTTTAGCGCCAACTCTATATTGCCTTATATGTATTAGCTCAGCGCTAGTGYGACAAACAAGCTAAACTGAGGTCCTCCATTCATATTTACAGTTCCAGGCTGAGTCATTTCTACCTTCTCCTCTCTGTCAACGCTCTCTGGTTTCATTTAAARGAGTCGATCATCAGATATTGTCCAAGATTAACCTTCAGGGTGGATATAGCTCGCTAGCAGCCTCCATCGAGGACCTATTCACGTCATCATTTACCCAGAATGCTTTGCGTGTAAATAAAATGGCTCCGTCCGTGTTAAAATATATTTTTTTAAAAGTACAAAACTGAACATCCTACAGTATTTTTACAGTCTTTATTTTACAGTAAAAATATATGTTTATTAAATAAAGTCTAATGTKACAACTAGTCATGGATCCCTTTAAACTGGGAACTAACTTGGTTTTCTATGTAATTTTTCCGGCATCCGAGTTTTGAACACTTTCTTACACCATTACAAGATACGTATGAAGGCGCTTGGAAGAAAAAGAAAAACTAGAGACTGCAGACTTAATTATACCCATCTTCTCAACCACCCACCCACATATCTATATATCTACTGTATATAGTTCACATTATTTAGGGTGTTTTCAGCCCCCAACGTTAAGAATTGACATGTTTTGTTTCAGCAGCTGCTCTCAGGCTGACCTTTTGTTGCTGCGGTCAGTTTACAAACTGCAAAATCAATCTAACATAATTTACCCACACACGCACGTACACACGTGCATAAACAATCTGATGTGCATTTTTCTGTGCAGCTAACTCAAACTGCTCCAACATTGATTTGCTAAAGAGCAGCTGACATGCGTGTTATTTCAGAGGTGGGGTGGGGGGTTCTGTGCCCGTGCRTGTGATATAAAAGCCCACCATCGATCAAGCTGAAGCCTCGGCTTATCAAAGGAACGTATATCGATCAGCTTTAGGTAAAACAGCCAMAATGCTGCAGTGATGGAAGGATCWGTTAACAWGTCCTGCCCCCCTCAGCTRAAGTTTAGGTCAAAGTGTTCCCTTCTTTGTCCTCTCCACAAACACAGACCGCCCACCTGTTGTTGTTGTAAAGAGCTGAGCTGATTATCACACACACTCATACACACCAACTGTTGATGCCTCCTTCACAGCAGAGGGTTGAACAGAATTAGAACAAGGTGACTACTATCTGGCATTTAAGGGCGGATGAGAGGCAACGACAGCTCGGTTAAAGCTGATTCACTCARAACGTTACGTGAGCTGTAGACTTTAATCAAGTTTTACTGACTTCATTTTTCTGTCTTGACATAATTAAAAATATCATTTTACAAAAACAAAACAAAAAAATCATTGTGTATACTGTATAATATATTCCTTCAAGGAATGCTTAGCCTTTATTTCGATGCCAGAGTGTTAGACTAAGATTATGGGTTGACTGCAACAGGTGATCCTGTTCTCAGGTAGTGCACAAAGTAARTGTTGTAGATTACTCTCAGCTACGACACCAAATTTGAGTTTCATTTCTATGTTTCCGTTTTTTAACCATGCAAGTCCCAATTCACACCTTAGTCCTAGATCTAACCCCTAACCCACCAATGGCATTTCCCCCCATAGGGACTGGGCTTAGGTCCCCATAAATAAGTGTGTATCCCAAAATTGGTCCCCACATAGTAGGGAATGCTCGCCTGTTTTTCTATCTTTACAAGGACTTTGAATTTTCTTTTTTTGTCTTCTATGTTTTCCAAAGCCCCATAAACAATTGGCCCTCACAAGATAATTTATTTTGGAAAAGAAGTCGTGACTGAACACACAAAGTGGGGAAAAACCCTATTGCACTTCCTTCACATTTGGTGATCAAGAATAATAAATAGGCTTAATTGTTTTATACAAATATTAGAAAAACCAAAAAGTGTTGATGTTTGAAATTAGAGGTGTCAAACTCTGTTAAGCAATAAGGCAACAAATGCAATCGTAGAACCCATAGTTAGGCTCTACAACAGGGACTACAAAATTCATGAAAAACTTCCTGGTTGGAYTCATCACTGTACAGTTCTTTCATTGTCTGATGCTTTGACTTTTCAGAATTATGTTTTGTATAGCGGTATTAATTTATATTTTCAGATCTTCCAAGGTGCCAATTATGGAACTCTCTGTGCATTGCTGCCCAAATCAAATTCTGGAAGTGGTCATTCAACTAGATCTGTCACAAAAGGACAACTGATATTACCAACTTTTAAAAACTGTTACGGCCAGAGGTCTTTCTTCTATGTTTATACTAAAGCATGGAATGACATTCCTCAAAACATAAAGTCCATTTCAAAACTACAGCCCTTTAAGAAGAATCTTGTCTGCCATCTGCTGGACACTTTTTGTTGTGCTCATATTTAAACGTCCTATTTTGCAAATGCTGCCTTCCTGAAATTTGGTATGCTTGTTTGTCTTTGTGTCTATGGTGAATAATGATGTGATTGTGATGCTGTAATTCTGAGTGTTTTATGTGCTGCAGAACAGGAACCTGCTGTAAAACAGCAATTATGCTGAGTGGCTTGATTTTTAGTAATCTTTTCCTGTTAAATCAATAAATCAAATCAAATCAAGGCCAAAATTACAAACTTGGTCCAATTTCTGTCAATATCTATGAAATGGGTTAGCCCTAACCCTAACAAATTATTCTTATAGAAATGTAAATTTACCGTTTTCAAATATTAAATGTAGCATTTAGAACACAACCAAACAGAATAAATTAATTAATTAACAAATTTAGAAAAACCTCTTTAGCATTGATTTATTATTCCTTTGCTCTTTCCACAYCAAAATCAACACAAAATGAAAAATTCTAACTTCATTTTCTTGGCTTGAAGGCTGGCCAGCTCTCATGAGAAGAATGCAAAAAATCCAGTGACAGAGACTAAAACTACAAGTTSGGGCCAGATAAAATGTTTATGAAGGCCAGATTTGACCCACAGGCCTTCAGTTTGACTCACTGGTTTTAATGATAAGAATAAGTGCATTGTCTATATAAAGGTAAATCAGCAATGATTATTGCAAAGTTTTTTTTAAATACCTTATAATCGTAGAGTTTGCTGGATCTTCTCTGATGACTTTTGGTCCTTTAGTGGTCCTTGAAAAAGCTGTGCTATCATAGAAACACGCACACTTGGTATTCCTTTTGTAAAAAATCCTTTTTGGGCCCCAGTCGACTGTGACAAGGCAGCGCTCAAATCGGGCAAGCAACAGTTGTCTCGAGCTGAATCACAGCACGTCTAAAAATACACAAGAACTGTCCCTACAGGAGAAAATGGAAAGAAGTCCAGACGGAAAGTTTATTTCTTTTAACAGGACTTTTTTTTTTACATTGCACCTGAGGTGAGCAAAAAAAAAATTAAAGTAAGCTTTTTAAAGATTTGAATGYACAAGAGAGTGAAAAAGAGAGGGAGAGCCAGATGAAGGGTGGAGGTTGACCCACTGAGAGTCACCCTGCCCCCTCTYTGAGGGTCCAGAATAGAGAGATAAAGAGGGAACAGGAGTGAGACTGAAAGGAGAGCAGAGCGGATGAAGAGAACTTGGYGTAAAGGAGCCAAAGCTCAAGGACACAGAGAGAAAAGATGAAAACGAAGGTCTCCTGTGTACAGTGTGCCTCAGAATCTTMGACCTCATTAATCACATAATGATCAGGGAAACAGGGGAGCAGAGGACGGCTGATGTTCCATCAGGGTTGAATATGTCTAAACTCACATAATCTGACTTGATAACTGCAAAATGGATCAAGACAATTTCTTTACAGCTAAAAAATGTAACKTAACACCTCCATTGATTTATTTTATAGGTATGTGGATATTTCAAATGCTTWTTTATTCCTATTCCCCATCCGCCTCTTATTGAAGCACTCAGGATAAACATATCCTGGATAAGGTGCACTCTCCCTTCAACTTTAACAATAAACCTTAAACCTCTAAATCTCGCAGTCTTTCCTGCGCTTCATCCAGAGGAACCATATTTTCTCTTTACTGCCCCAGACTGGTAAAAACGGAGGTCAATATGAAGAGTAAATAAGTGAATAAATATCTAGCAAAGCCCCATGTGGGTTTCTGAGCCTTGTCAGAAGCTTAAAGGGTGGTGTTTGTGTGGCTATATGTGAGAGCGAGGGAGTAACCTGACCCCCAGTCTTGCCCTGGGAGCCTGCTCTGCAGAGGCTATAATTAGAGACACAGACGGCAGCTGGTGGTGCCATTGGACTGGACCGCTTTAGATGTAGGGCTGAAGGACCAAACACACATAAAGAAAGAGATGGGGGTTGTATGAAAAAATTGAGGGGCAAAAAAGATTAACTTTGAGCTTTAAATCTTTGAAAGCTTTTTTTTCTACACACAAGTTAGCAGGAATATCCCCATGAAATTGGGACCAATTTCTTCATCACAAACACAAAGGATTAACACTAAGATGGTTTATCCTTAAATTTAAAGCGGCATCTGAAAAAATAAGTCCAAAACCTTCCTGTTGCGTTCATCAGGGTATTTGGTGATTGTGAGGGTTACAGCAGGAAGAAACGTTTCCTGTCTCATCAACTTGTCTGAATCTGGACTTGTTGGAAGAGACCAAAAACTGTTTCTAATAGGGGGCTCCAGATACCAAGTTTTCTCAAACCAAGTTCTTCAATTTGGGTTCTCACCATTACCGAGTATTGAGCCAGAACCTTACAAATGGTAAATGGCTTGAACTTACATAGCACACCATCAAGTCCACATGGACTCCAGTGCAATAAAATTGGCAAATTTTCTAAATCAWAGTTTMTCAAAACCAATACYAGTAYCAGGCTTGATTCCAGCATCAAACACTTGAACTCATAAAGGYACTCAGATACCCAATACTTTGGACCAGTACCACTTTCATGCTTTCTGATGAATTTCCTCTTCTGCTTTGTGAGAAATATTTTAAAGGGGCAATATCACGTAAAATCAACTTTTTGAGTTTTATATCATGT